CAGGCGCTGCGCTGCCACCCGGACAAGAACAAGGAGCCCGGCGCCGAGAAGAAATTCAAGGAGATCGCCAAGCCTCCGACGTGCTCAGCGACCCGCACAAGCTCGAGAGCTTCGACCGCTACGGAGAGGAAGGCCAAGAGCGGTGGCCCCAGTGGTGGAAGCGGCGGTGGTGCGAACGGCACCTCCTTTAGCTATACATTCCATGGAGACCTCAGGCCATGTTTGCTGAGTTCTTCGGTGGCCGAAATCCCTTTGACGCCTTTTTTGGACAGCGGAACGGGGAAGAAGGCGTGGGCATTGATGACCCGTCCTCTGGCTTCCCCCTGGGCATGGGTGGCTTCACCACCATGAGCTTAGTCCGCTCCCGCCCTGCCCAAGAGCCCACCCGAAAGAAGCAAGACCCCCCTGTCACGCATGACCTTAGGGTCTCCCTTGAAGAGACCTACAGCGGCTGTACCAAGAAGATGAAGATCTCCCGTAAAAGGCCGAACCCCGATGGGAAGAGCATTCGCCACGAAGACAAAATCTTGACCATTGAAGTGAAACGGGGGTGGAAAGAAGGGACCAAAATCACCTTCCCCGAGGAGGGAGACCAGACCTCTAACAACATTCCAGCTGACATCGTCTTGGTTTTAAAGGACAAGCCACACAATGTCTTTAAGAGAGAGGGCTCTGATGTCATTGACCCAGCCAGGGTCACCCTCCGGGAGCTCTGTGTGGCTGTTCTGTGACTGTCCCCACTCTGGACGGCAGGACCACACCCATCGTGTTCAAAGATGTCATCAGGCCTGGCAGGCGGCGAAAAGTTCCTGGAGAAGGCCTCCCTCTCCCCAAAACACCCGAGAAACGCGGGGACCTCATTATTGAGTTTGAAGTGATCTTCCCCGAAAGGATTCCCCAGACGTCAAGAACCATACTTGAGCAGGTTCTTCCAAAATAGCCACCTGTGTTCTCCAAGGACTGACCAGGGACCTTTCCAGAGCTCAAGGATTTCCGGACCGTTCCACCAGTTGTGGACCCGTGAGAGGACGGGAGGGCCCAGGGAGGGCTTTCGTACTGCTGAATGTTTTACAGAGAATATATTACAATCTTTCAAAAAAAAAAAGAAAAAAAAAAAAAAAAAAAAACCTTCCTTAGGGGTTTAGTTGATTTTTAATGGGTTTCCAGAGAAAATACATAGAATCTGAGGAACATCCTGGTGAATATAGATAGCTATGCCTTTGGTACCATGCTGCATGAATTAAAAAGATCTGTCCCAAATTATGTGATTAAAAAATAAGCATACTTATTATAATGACACTTACGTATTCGTCACATTTCTTTTTTTCCAAGTGGCTGTTTGTGAGACTTCTTCTACTTTCGCGATCAGAAATAAACTTGCTGTAAAGACATGTATAATACATTTAACCTCATGGCAGTGATTTGAAGCTTAATGTTATACCTAAGTGGTTGATTACTTACCAAAACATAGTACACATGGAAAGTTATCAATCTAATTCAAATCATTTCAATACGAACACATTAAAACACTGTATGCAATGTAAGTTAACTTTTACGTAGATTTTTCTCTAACTACCAATCAGATAATGTCAAAAATACTCTAACGCTGTCATGTAAAAGAATAGCAGAGGCAGGATTCCTTCTGAGCTCCCATTCCTGGAGTACAAAGTTATTAAATAGGAATTCCCTCTCCCCTGAAAAAAAGGAAACAACTCTTTCTCCATCAGATATTGCTTCAGCACCTGCCATATGCAAGTCATCAGACAAGGTGATGAGAGAGACATGAGGGTATGTAAAGGAGATGCAGACACTGAGCTATAGGAGTTCAGCAGAGGAAACCATGGTGGTGGGGGCAGGGCATTAGCCCATGGTTAGGGGCAGAACTAGGGCTTTAAGAAAGGGAGGGATTTAGAAGGTGAGTTTGAATCCTCACTAGCTACAAGGCCCTAGGCTACCTCAGTTTCCTCTGTGAAATGAGAGTAACACTATTACATGATCTCATGGCACTCTTGGGAGAATGAAATCATCACTACAGCTCCAGGCACAGAGTAGGAGCAAGAGGGGGGGGGGGGGGGGCGGTGCGTGAGACTTGAGCTGGGATGAGAAAGATTCAGGCAGGCTAAGTGGAGTAAACTGTCTGCAAATACATAGAAGAAGGAATTCAGAATGCTCTCAGAACCATATTCATTCAGCATTAACATCAGAACTTTATGGCCTAAATCTTTAATTTTTAAAAAATTCACTATTAAGCCCTAGCTGGCTTGGCTCAGTGGATAGAGTGTTGGCCTGCGGACTTAAAGGTCCCAGGTTCGATTCCAGTCAAGGGCATGTACCTTGGTTTCGGGCACATCCCCAGTGGGAGGTGTGCAGGAGGCAGCTGATCGATGTTTCCCTCTCATCGATGTTTCTAACTCTCTATCCCTCTTCCTTCCTCTCTGTAAAAAATCAATAAAATATATTAAAAATAAGAGCTGAACTATTTTAAAGCAGCATTTATCTTTAAACTGTACATTATATTTTCACATGCTTTTTTGAATAATACTGTTTCATAAGAAACCATTTTCAATGAAACCATCATCAATATTGGCTTTATTTAACTATCTTTTTCATCTTTAATCCAAGGGGGTCTGGCTTCTCCCTGGCATCAACTCGCCAAGTTTGCATTATTTTGCAAAAAATAAGCCAAAAACAGGCAGTAAACCAAATTCCTGAGATCATCACCTGGTAGAAGCAGCACGATCTGTGGTTTACTCCCTTCAGCATCTGCCTTTGCCTAGGACCTGGTCAGTTACTGTGAGAGACCGAAAGGAAGATGAAGAAAACCTTGGTCTCTGAACAGGAGAGACCACACTGGCTCACACCAGAATGGGAATGCCAGGCTGCGCAAAACTGAGATGAGATAAGGCATCCAGAGAAGGGAAAACCGTTATTGGAAGGGATTAGCCAGAAGACACTTAAGGCCAGAGGCCTGTAAGTAGGATTACAGGAGAAGGACAATATTTTGGAGAGCAATCTGGCAGTTATAGAGTGTTTGGCCCTTTTCTTGCCCTTAACATTTTAGAGCTTTCCACAGAATTGAGGGTCACAGGCCTGGCTAGAGAGAGGCAAGGAAAAGCAGCCTTCCTTTTCACACAGGCAGCCCAAGGAAATGCAGGTGCTGCACTTACCAAAATGAAATAGATTTCCAAAATAAAAATACACTTGGGCCCTGGCCGGTTTTGCTCAGTCATTAGAACGTCAGCCCTCGGACCGAAGGGTTGTGGGTTTGATTCCCAGTCAAGGGCATGTGCCTCAGACCTGGTAGGGGCGCATACAGGAGGCAACTAATCGATATTTCTCACTCTCTCCCTCTCCTCCCTCCCTTCCACTCTCTCTTGAAATCAATGGAAAAAATATACTCGGGTGAGGATTTACACATTTTTTAAAAAGCCATTAAATAAAAGACTGTATCTAATCAGGCTAATTTTAATAATCAACTTAAGTCAATCTAATATTTATCCAGAAGGTCCCCCATTTGCCTTTCATGTGGAGGGACTTCTTTTCTGAAGAGAATTTCCATTATTTTAAATTAATGGAAGAGCCTAAACATTTTCAAGCAAACTGAACAAAACATAGCAAACTGCCTGTAGCAGATTTAAGCCCCCTGGCCTGACCCCATGCCCCAGAATTGGTGGCAGAAGACTGGTGGGCCGGGAAGAAAGAGGTATCATCATTATAACACTAAAGGCATTCAGTAGGGTCAAACACTGTGAAAGGGGAGGAAGAGGAAAGAATCAAACTGAGTAATGGTGGCGTGTTAAGACATGGGTCTTTATAAAGTATCATCTAGTGCATGGAGTTGGAATAAAATAGAAAGGGAGAAAAAAAAAAGATAAAGAAAAGGAGGGGGAGGAAGAATAAGGCCCCTACATGATTGCCGGCTCTTCCCCGCAGAACTTCTGCAGGATGGGGATGATGAAACTGACTCACAGGGCTGTAGAAATGAGTAACTATCAAAAAGCACATTAAAATATATTGTATCTCAAGAGCCTCCCTGATTCTGCCTCTTCCGGTGCACTTTCTGCAGCAAGACCTAATAGGTTTTCCCAAAAATCTTCACTGGCTCCCTACTGAGACACTTTCTTCTTTTTTAAAATATATTTTTATTGATTTTTCACAGAGAGGAAGGGAGAGGGATAGAGAGTTAGAAACATCGATGAGAGAGAAACATCGATCAGCTGCCTTTACACACCTCCTATTGGGGATGTGCCTGCAACCAAGGTACATGCCCTTGACCGGAATCGAACCTGGGACCTTTCAGTCCATAGGCTGCCGCTCTATCCACTGAGCCAAACCGGTTAGGGCCACTGAGACACTTTCAAGTGTAAATCCCTCACCCTGCAATTCCTGATGCTGCTGAATTTGACTTTGCCTCAATGTCCCAATCTCAGCTTCCACTACTCAAAATGATCTTCCCAAGAGGGGGTGAGGACTGAGACAGGATCATAGCATTCCTAGAGACGGAAAAACACGGCAGCAGTGGGACTCCACCTCCACTGGGGAGAGATCCTGTGTCCTCTTCTCAGCCAGCACCTTCCTGCCAGTTCGAAGCTTCATCCATGAGCCTTCTGATTCTCTGGTTTGAGCTGAATTTCCTGACTCTGACCTACTTACTACTTTTTCTGTGGCACATACTGTGCTACTGAACTCATCTCACATCCAGAGCTGCTGTACAGTGCTCTCAGCCCCTCAGCTCCTTCTTAAATGTACCTGCCCATGCATTAACAACTCAGAGGAACCTTTCGTAAACCGAATATGCATCTTCTATTTAGGAATTAGGGAGTAGCTTAGGCTGCAGGGAAGTCAGGCTCAGTAAGAATGAAATAGTAAGAATGAATAAAGAAATCCTCTTTATTCTCTTTATGATATCTCCACTTTTTCTTCTCTTTAGTCTTTAAATCTCTGCTTTGTATTTCTGAAAACTTTTTTTAAACAAAATAAAACCAACCTTTTTAGTAATGGAAAAGTCCATTCAAAAGAAGTAGGTCAAGCGGCTTATCACAAGTTTCTGCTATCTTACCATTTAAAAATATGCAATTGTGTGATAAAAACCACGGACTTCTGGCAAAGAAACTGAGTTAAACTTCTCTTTATTTACTTAAAAATGGGCTATGGGAGAAGGTGCCTTTGACATGTGGTCTCAGGATGATAAAAGTATTATAAAAAAAGAGTTTTCACTGGGTTGGTCTGTACCCATAAAGAAGAATTCAATCAACTATTAGGTAGCCAATTGTTCTGAGAACAAAACCAAACAAAAACTTACAGTGGCTGTCATGGTGACCTTCAGTAGACAAAGCCTTCAAAAGGAGTAGGTGTGAAGGGAGGCTGAGCAATATAGAGCAGTTATTTAAAACCAAAAATAAACCAACATCAACAACAATCGAACAGGATGGGCTGTGTAATAGGAAGATATTCTTCCTAGTTTAATCCCTACCAATCAGATTCTTACTAGATTATAGTGTTCTATTTGAGGTTTCATAACACAGAAGAGATCAATGGTTGTGCTTAGATGACCTTTCCCAATTCTTTCCCTGAAATTCTAACATTCTATAAAAAAGAAAAAGAGAACAGGAGGAAAGAAGCAAGTAACAAAGAGGCTGGAGAACGTGTAAGATTTAAAGAAACAGCAGGCATTTAAAGAGAAGACTGAGAGGTAAGCAAAGCCTTTCTGGTTGAATAAACTCTACTGAAAATAGGAGAAATCCAGGTTGTAACAGGAGCTCTTAAAGCAAGGAAAGAATTTTCTGACATAAGAACTGATCATCAGAAGAAGTGATGGAATATTCTTTAACTTTTCAAGGATTCTCCCAAGTGATATAAAGTTAGTACATGAACTCTGAAGGATATACAGGGACAAAAAAAAAAAAAAAGGCTGATGTAGGGGGTAGTGACAAGAATTGCCCCAAATCCTTTTAAGAACAATTTTAACAAGGGACTCTCAAACTTTGTTAGATGCTGCCTGGGTCACAACAACAATAACCACGCAGAGAGATGAGAATAGTAAATAAATATGAAAACGTGAATATTTGCTTAGATACAGTTAGGATAATCTACTAATATTCCAACAGCTTTAAAGAAGCAACAGTCAGCAATCATCCGGAACCTAAAACAATATTATTATTCCTTGATGTAGACAAGAAAGAAGTGCTTGCCAAAGAAAGAGGATGCACTTTTATTGATAAAGACACATCTCACACTAAAAGGCTTACTGTTGCCAGACACTTGCCAAGTACCTTAGATGGGTCTTCTCATCTATTTTCACAATAATTGTATTGGTCAGTACTATTACTAGCTCCATTTTAGAAAAATTAAGTAACTTGACCAAAGTAACATTACTAATAACAAAACCATTGAGCCAGGATTTGAACCTAAACTGGCTGATGGCAGAGCCTGAGTTCTTAACCTACAAGCAGGAATACATTTACTATTCCCCGACACTCCCGGGAAGTAAGGTATTTTTACTATCCTGGTTCTTACAGGGATGGACCTGAAGCTCAAAGGACAAGACCTATCGATAGAGCCAGGATTCAATACAAGTCCAAATTCAAACCACTTAACTACTGTCTCTCTCTCTTCTGTGTCTGTCTCTGTTTTTCTCTCTCATTTAACAAGTATTTTGTAATTTCCACTCTATTATCAGGCACTTTTATCTATCATTTCAAGGTGCAAGAGATATAGAGGTGATTGAGATGATTCCTCCTCGCAGGAAGCTCACTTCTAGGGGAAGAGTCTAGAGCTTGCTACTCCAAGTGTGGTCCAGGGACCAGCAGTAAGGGTATTACCTGGAAGCTTGCTAGAAATTAGAACCTCAGGCCCCATCACTGATCTACTGAATCAGAATCTGCATTTTAGCAAGGTTTCCAGATATCTCCTATGCACATTAACATGTTAGCAGAACTCCCACTACTCCACCACCACCACCCCAACCACACCACAAACAAACAAAAAATGTTAGCAGAACTGGTCTAGTGGGCATTTTGAAACGTTTTGCTGTTCCAGGTATAGATTTCTAGGACTATAACCCAAAAATTATGGCATGAAATAAAACAACTGAACTGGAATAGGGGCAGTTGTTCTAATGCCCAAATGGCTCTACTCTATTTTTGCCTAAACTTTAAAACATTATTCTAAGAATAGGGGAGTTTCCAGGCAAAGCTGTAAGCTAGATGCCAGGTGATCAGAGATCAACATTTGTTTTCAACATTTTCTCTAGCTTCCTAAAAAAGAGGAACTGTTACATAGAAGTTCCCTGTTTCGGGGGCTCGTTCCCTTAGATGCATATAATTGAGCCTACCTTCCTCCCATCAATATGAAAAAGCTATAAGAAGAATGAAAGGTATTGCCCAGCTGGTGTGCTCAGAAATTGAGCAACAACCTATGAACTAGAAGGTCATGGTTCGATTCCTGGTCAGGACACATGGGGTTGAGGGCTCAATCCCCAGTGTGGGGCGTGCAGGAGGCAATCAATGATTCTCCCTCATCATTGATGTTTCTGTCTCCCTCTTCCTCGCACTCTCCCCTCCTCTCTGAAATCAATCATACATTATTAAGAAAAACAAGAATGAGAGGTATTTAGGTATAGCTTTTGCAGCAATCATGGTGGAGATCCTGATTTTTATTTATCTTTTTGGCTTCTTGGCATATGTTGTTTTTAATTTTATTTGTCCTAGAGCCAAACTAAAGAAAGGCTCATGAACAATTGTGTCAGTGAAAGAGGGGAGGTAAGATAAATGAAGAAATAAATGCATCACACCGCACGTGCAGTAAAGGAACCAAATTCTGCAAAACAAGTGGTCAACACCAACAGCAAACCTGCGGTACCAGCTCACTGCCTTCGTCACAGTCTCAGAAGATGTGAGCTCACTGGGCAAGGTGTCCAAGTCAGGGGTGAGAATGGTCGTCACTCAAAAACTGAATATTGTTAGTAAATAAAACTCTTTAAGATCAAGTCCAGACTCTAAACTGAGTATTAGAAAGACTCCCATTTTAAGGTCTTCAAGGTTTGCCTTGCTTTGGGATTGAAGCTGTGTTATAAAACCAAAGTGTCCTACTTGTGAAATGGTTGGGATCCCATGCACCATTAAGTGGAGGTCAGCAGTGACTGCAGAACAGTCCAGGAGTACAGAGCATAAATTAGCACTGGCAGAGTTTAACTGAACTAGCTAATGCCTGAGCATTATAAGCAGAGGCAGGCAGAGAGAGCAAAAAGACTAGGATTTCAGATGAACCTGTGTATGCCCTTGAGCAAGTTATTTTATTTCTCTGGGCCTCAGTTTCCTTACTTGTACACAAAAATTTAAAAATTTCCTTATTTGCAAAATAATGCTTTGCATGATGCTTTTATAAGGATAAATGGCAATACATGTAAACACAGCTGGCAGTCAAGAAATGTTCATTATGACCTGGCTGGTTTGGCTCAGTGGATAGAGCATCAGCCTGAGGACCAAAGGGTCCCAGGTTGGATTCCGGTCAAGGGCACATGCCCGGGGTTGCGGGCTCGATCCCCAGTAGGGGGTGGGCAGGAGGCAGCCAATCAATGATTCTCTCTCATCATTGATGTTTCTATCTCTCTCTCCCTCTCCCTTCCTCTCTGAAATCAATAAAAATATATTTAAAAGAAAAGAAAAAGAAATGTTCATTATTAATAATTTGACTTAGAAAAGGTAAAAGAAGTAAACTTGAGTCCAACAATAAGAAATATCACAATACAGTAAATGATTCTTGGGATTATAATGAGGAAGTGCCTGGATGGAGACCTAACCACTAAGAACATTTAAGGAAGAGAAAAAGAAGAGGCAGGGCTGAAACTTCTGAGTATGTGTGAATGATGGAAGCTATCTCCTATGCTGGACTTCCACTTATTTATGTACACACTACATCCAAATATAGAGCAAACTATTGGACATTATTCCCAATATGATGCCTGGCTAGGTGATGTATGTTGTCATCTCCCTCTACCCCAATTTACTTCTGACAACCCCTCCACCCCAAGAAAAAAAGTGTAGCATAAGGAGACCCGTATACTCCCCTCACTTCTCGTAGCCTTTTTAGAGGCGTCATGCTTCAAACAAGCCACACCACTAGCTCCCAAGCTGGAGACCTTCCTGCTACGGGATCCACTCGACCTGACTATAACTCAGGAAGACAGAGAATGCCCACATCACTAAAAACTTAAAGACATTTGGCCCTACTCTCGGAAATTAAGAAACTCAGAACCCAAGAGTTGGACAGACGTGCTGAGGTCAAAAGCTTCCAGGCCAGCACTCTTCCCACCTGCCTCTCTACCTCCTCTCACTGGGGGCATCTTTTCTTTTCCTTCTGCTACATGTACTATTTCTCTACTACAGTTTCTCATAGAGCCATCTGGGCTCAACTATAGTTATTATTATTTAAATTCCATGTTGCAAATGATGCTTACAGTAGTGCATTTGTAGTTTTAACACGGGAACACTGGCAAATGGGACTTTGACCATTTCTTGATTAAAAATGTGGGTGAGAGCCCTGACTGGTTTGGCTCGGTGGATAGAGCGTTGACCTGCGGACTGAAGGGTCCCAGGTTCGATTCTAGTCAAGGGTATGTACCTTGGTTGCGGGCACATCCCCAGAGGGAGGTGTGCAGGAGGCAGCTGATCGATGTTTCTCTCTCATTGATGTTTCTAACTCTCTATCCCTCTCCCTTCCTCTCTGTAAAAAATCAATAAAGTATATTTTTAAAAAAATGTGGGCGAGGTCAGATGACTATAGGACACAGTCATATGTGGGTTGCAGTGAAAGGCCAATAGTCTGTCTAATTCATAAGCACAGAGCTTCTGAAAAGTTAGGGCTGGTTGGGGGCCAATGTATTATACACTTTTATTAGACTCAATTGAAAGATTGAAAAAGATGAATAAATTGCTTTCCTATTTGCTTCATCTGCTACTGCAGACTATGCCCAACAGATGTCAAATAAGAAATTCAAATTACATCTTCAAATGGAGCATAACTTTAGTAATGAATAATTCAAGAGAATAACTGAAAATCAGAATATTTTAGAGACATTTCTTTTACTGGATAGAAAGTATTAGGAAAATACTCACCTATTTATTTGACCATTTTCTACTTCAGTGAAGTCATTGGAATCATTGCTGATGTTGTCATCTTCGGGCACTGTCATGTTTTGCAACTCGGTTAATTCGAGTCCACTTTTGAAATGCATCATGTTTATAAAGTACCTGTAGTCAAAAACTTCGTCCAAATTCTCCTGTTCTGAGTGTATTTACAAGTGGATAGCAGCAAAAATATAAGCTTGACACCCCTAAAATATAACACAGTGAAATATAGTGAAACATATGAATATAACCAACTGATTAAGACAGTTTAAGTAAACAAACAGTTAATGTACTGATAATGCAGCTTTTACATTTTGCTACTCAAAGCGATCTTTGTATATCAAGTTATAAAGGCTCTATATTTTATGCCTTTCATAAATCTTCCTCCATTTTTAACTATAAAGTGAGTTATGTCCCACAATCTTTATGCTCACATTTATAGGAATACCATGTCAGCTGCAGGCAATATAGATACCGTTTTATAAAACAGTGTGTTTAAATTGAAAGCGAATTGGTTACTTGAATGTGTCAGCTCGTAGGACACACATATAGCTGGTTACAGACCACAGAGCCACAAATGCTCCTCTGGTTTAGCATTCCCAGTTGAATAAAAATGCAATAAATGGCATCAGGAGGGATCAACCACCCAACCCAGAGGTCAAATAGCAAAGGACAAATCTGTGTTTTGAAATTTAGCAGTTTATCCATCAACTGCAAGAGATTAATTCAATCTCTGCAATGAAATCACTCCATGTCAGGGAATTAGAGATTTAAAAATTCATACTCAGGGGATTTAGGTTAATCCATCTGAAACTACATTTCCTCATCAGAAACAAAAGATTTGCAGAGCTCACATTTTCCCCCATGTGGATGACTGGGATTTAAATTTCTGAGGGGTCACCAATAGTATACAAGGAGGGGACCAAGTTTCAGACACATATCATCACAAATCAAAAAGCAGGTGGTGCCCTGCTTGGTTTGGGTCAGTGGTTAGAGCGTAGGCCCACACATCAAAGGGTCGCCGGTTCAGTTCCCAGTCAAGGGCAAGTATCTTGGTTGCTGGCGGAGTGGGTGTGGGAGACAACCGATCGATGTGTCTCTCTCACATTAATGTTTCTCTCTTTGGGCTATGGGGGGAAAAAAGAGGAACAACTGTAAAAATCTGAACAATAAAGATTTAGTTAAATAAATAAATAAATAAATAAATAAATAAAAATTGGTGGCAAGCGTGGCGAATGCAGTTTCAAAAGTAAGGCTTCCATATGTGCAGGAGCCTCACCGGGAGAATCTCAGTGAGGTGATGGGGACCATGTAATGAAACAGAATGTCAATGAAAATTTTTTTTACCTCCAATGGTAATTGGATGACCTTTTTATATTTTTTCTGATCCCGAATTCCATAAGATGATTGCAGTTCAGTGTCAAAACACCAATGTGCCCATCTAACATCCTGCATATCTCAAGAAGCATTTGGCTAATTGATAATATGTTCAGGACCCATAGAAAGTACCCTAGAATGATATCTATCCAGGATTTTCTTCTTCTCCTCCTTCTCACACAGCCAGGCCACACATTACTCCTTTTTATTCACACAGTCTCCCATCTAGAATGAAACCTCCCTGGTCCCGGGATCCTTTACAACTTCCACAACATACATACTTTCTAATACCTCAGGTTACAGGAGCTTCACCTTCCTGCAGGCAGGGTCTCTCCTGGAGAGCAGGAAGCCGGGGCAGGGAGATGTGAGTTCCGTGAACTCCTGGTCTAAGCCCCACGTGGCAGCTCGGGGCTGCCTCTTCCAGCCAGGGTGGTAGTACAAGAGAGGGGCCACTTCTAATTGCTTTTAGTGCCTTCACACAGTAGCCAGGTTTACCCCCATCTTTTCTTTGCAAAAGATGAACTGCGTTAAGACAACTGAACACCACCTTACCCCTTGGCCCCCCTTGATGAAAGCTGCACAAATGCACTGGCTGTCTCCTGTATGGCTCCCTTAGAGGCTACTGAAGTGATGCTACAGGGCTGGTAGGAAGTTGATTCAGTGGATGGAGTTTCCAGTCTGGATTAAGGAGCCCTTGGCTCTCCATAAACTGATAGGAAGCAGGGCACTAGACAAAAGCTTTCTAAGGAGAGGAAAGGTTGACTAACCATAAATCGGGAGTCTACTGTTTGAACTTAAACTTTCATATCACACATATATATACATATATATCCTATATAATAAAAGGCTAATATGCAAATTGACTGATCACTATGACGCGCACTGACCACCAGGGGGCAGACACTCAACGCAGGAG